TATCAAGCTATATTACAAAACCACTGTTCTCAAAACTACCTGGTACTGGCACAAGAACAGACATATAGACCAGTGGAACAGAACAGAGAACCCAGAAATCGACCCAAGCCATTATGCTCAATTAATATTTGAAAAAGGAGGCAAGAGCATACAATGGAGCCAAGACAGTCTGTTCAATAAATGGTGTTGGGAAAATTGGACAGACACATGCAAAAAAAAAAAGAAAGAAAGAACTAGACAACCAACTTACACCATACACAAAAATAAGCTCAAAATAGATAAAGGACTTAAACATAAGAAGGAAAACCATAAAAATATTAGAAGAATCTATAGGCAGCAAAATATCAGACATATGCCATAGCAATATCTTTACCGATACAGCTTCTAAGGCAATGGAAACTAAGGAGGAAACAAAATAAAATGGACTACATCAAAATAAAAAGCTTCTGCACAGCAAGAGAAACCATCAGCAAAACAAGAAAGCTTACTGCATGGGAGAATACATTTGCCAATGTTATCTCCAATAAGGGTTTAATCTGCAATTTTACAGGGAACTCATACAACTTAACAAAAGGGTGAAATTCCAATCAAAAAGTGGGCAAAGGGAAACCCAAGATGGTGGCATAAGTAAACACCTGTACTTGCTGCCTCCCATATCCACATCAAAATTACAACTAAAATACAGAACAACTATCATCCAGAACCGTGGGAAAGCTGGCTGAGTGTGAGTACTACAACTAGAGAGGTAAAGAAGAAAGCGCATTGAGACTGGTAGGATGTATGGAGGTGCAGAACGGGCTGTGCCTCTTTGGAGGCCGCCTGGAGGAGCAAGGAGTCCCAGCCCCACACCAGAACCCCTAGCCCAGGGTCCCAGAGCTGGGGAAAGAAGTACCTACAGGCAATAAGAACTACAGACTGTAAAAAACAAGTGTGGATTGGGGCTGAGTGACACACAGGCTACTCTAGACCCAGCTGCCCCTCTTAAAATGCAGGCACCACAAACTGAATTTACAAGCTCCCGCTTGCTCTGAGCTCCAGTGCCAGGCGAGGTTCTGGGTGACCCATACACATACAGGGAGAAACTGGATTGTCTGACATCGGGACAGGAATGTGGGGGTGGCTTTCTTCCAGACAGTGGTGCTCACAGCAGTCATTGTTCCCGTGCTGGGACCTCCCAGGTGCAGGGCTGACTGGCAGCTATTTCTGTTTGCTCAGTTTCCCTGAGACCCTGCACCACCCAATTTACAACCCCACCTGAGCTGTATGCAGTGGCTTTTGCATATGAATGGCCTGTCCTTTCTCAGCCTACAACCTGTCAAACAAGCTACAGCTGGGTCAGAGAGTCCCAAAGCTATCAATAAAAGGCCCAAGGCTGGCACCAGCACCAGCCTGCCTTGCTTCACAGCTGGGCCTCATCCAAACCCATACAAAGAGGAGGATCTGCAGATCTCTCCTTAGCTCCTGCTGGGTGGCCCCAGGCAGTAGCTGACTTTGCACCTCCTTGGAGATCCAAGAGCCAGTGTACCCAGTGGTCAGTGTGAGACCATAGCAGATTACAACTCTTCACATCCATAAGTGACACACTCAAGGGGCACACTCAGTGAGCACCAAAGCCCTACTGAAGGAAGTCCTGCCCCATAAGGGTGTCTCCTGCACAGCAGCTAACTGTAGTCACTGCTGGTCCCCTCAGCCAATTGGCCTGGAGGTCAATTCCTCCCAGTGATACCAACAGCTATCAAGGCTCAACTACAACAACACTGTGCACACAGCCCACAAGGGGTGCACCAAGAGTGTCCACCTCAGGTTATTGAGGAGGCTGAACCACTGGGCCCTATAGGACACATACTATACAAGGCCATTCTATCAACTCAAGGAGACTTAGCAGCTACCCAATACATAGAAACAAATACAGGAAAGCAGCCAAAATGAGGAGACAAAGAAACATGTCACAAATGAAAGAAATGGAAGAAAGCAAACTACTGGATATAGAGTTTAAAACCAGTTATAAGGTTACTCAAGAATCTTCTAGAATCCTCCGAGGAACTTAGTGAGACTTTCAAGGATCTTAGTGAGACTGCCAAAAAAAAAAAAAAAAAATAGAAAAAGAGCAGTCAGAAATTAAGCATACACTGACTGAAATAAAGAATAATATACAGGGATTCAACAGTAGACCAGAGGATTCCAAGAATCAAGTCAATGATTTGAAATACGAAGAAGCAAGAAACACCCAACCAGAAGAGCAAAAAGAAAAAAGAATTCAAAAATATGAAGATAGTGTAAGGAGCCTCTGGGAAAATTTCAAGCAAACCAACATGCAAATCATGGGGGTGCCAGAAGAAGAGAGAAAGCAAGATATTAAAAACCTCTTTGAAGAAATAATGACAGAAAACTTCCTCTACCTGGTCAAAGAAATAGACTTACAAGTCCAGGAAGTGCAGAGAATCCCAATCAAGAGGAATCCAAAGAGGACCACACCAAGACACATCATAATTAAAATGCCAAGGGCAAAAGACAAAGAGAGAATCTTAAAAGCAGCAGGAAAAAAAAAACAGTTGGTTACCTACAAGGGAGTACCCATATGACTGTCAGCTGATTTGTCAACAGAAACGATGCAGGCCAAAAGGGAGTGGCAAGAAATATTCAAAGTGATGAATAGTCAGAACCTACAACCAAGATTACTCTACCCAGCAATGCTATCATTTAGAATTGAAGGTCAGATAAAGAGCTTCACAGACAAGAAAAAGCTAAATGAATTCATCACCACCAAACCAGTATTATATGAAATGCTGAAGGGTATTCTTTAAGAAGAGGAAGAAGAAAAAGGTAAAGATAAAAAATTATGAACAACAAAGTGACAACAAGGGATATCTATCAACAAGTGAATCTAAAAATCAAATGAATAAAAATCTGATGAAAAGAATAAACTGGTGAATGGCATAGAATCAGGAACATGGAACTGGAACAGACTGCTAATTCTCAGAGGAAAGGGGGTGTGGGGGGTATGGGAAGAGATTAGACAAAGACCTTATATGCATGTATGCAGTACCTATGGACACAGACAATAGGGTGGCAAGGGCCTGGGGTGGGGGGTGGGGGGGAACCAGGTGGAAGGGAGCTATGGGGGGGAAAAAGAGGGACATCTGTAATAATCTCAACAATAAAGACCAAAAGAAATAAAAAATAAAAGTGGGCAAAGGACCTAAATAGACACTTTTTGAAAGAGAATATACAAAATGCCAAGAGACATATAAAAACATACTCAGTCACTAATCATCCAAGAAATGCAAATCAGAATGACAATGAGGTACCATCTCACACCTGTCAGAATGACTATCATCAACAAATGGCAAATGCTGGAGAGAATGTGGAGAAAAAGGAAGCCTCGTGCACTGCTGGTGGGAATGCAGACTGGTGCAGCCACTGTGGAAGATAGTATGGAGTTTCCTCAAAAAAATTAAAAATGGAACTCCCATTTGACCCAGTAATCCCACTGCTAGGACTATATCCCCAGAAATCAGAAACACTAATCAGAAAGGATATATGCACCCCTATGTTCATAGCAGCATAATTTACAATAGCTAAGATTTGGAAACAGCCTAACTGTCAATCAACACATGAGTGGATTAAAAAACTGTGGTACAGCTACACAATGGAATACTAAGCAGCTGTAAAAAAGAAGGAACTCTTACCATTTGCAACAGCATGCATAGACCTGGAAAGTATTCTAAACTAAATTAGCCAGTTGGAGAAAGATAAATATCACATGATCTCACTCCATCAAACCTCAGAGGGAAAGCAGGGGAGGTGGGGTAAGAGATCAACCAAAGGACTTGTATGCATGCACATTAGAATAACCAATGGACACCGACACTTGGGGTGGTGGGGGCTTGTCCTTGGGAATGGGAGTGGTTGGGGAGGGGTTCGTGGGGAAAAAGGAGACATATGCAATATTTTATAAAAAATATCGCAATACATTTTAAAATATGGTATGACTGCCCTGGCCGGTTTGGCTCAGTGCATAGAGCGTTGGCCTGCGGACTGAAGGGTCCCAGGTTCGATTCCGGTCAAAGGCATGTACCTTGGCTGCGGGTGCATCCCCAGTAGGGGGTGTGCAGGAGGCGGCTGATGGATGTTTCTCTCTCATCGATGTTTCTATCTCTATCCCTCTCCCTTCCTCTCGGTAACTACCAATTTGTACTATTGGCTCACTGAGAAGATGCACGCCTGAGACTTCAATGTCTCTGCCATGCATGGAGATATGAACCAAAAGGAATGAAATGTAACCATGAGAGTTCCGCTCTGGCTCTAGCAGAGGATTACCATTGACCTGCTGGCCAGAGGCAGTGATGTGCAGCAGGTTTCTTTAGTCACCAACTATGACCTTCCACCAACAGGGAAAACTATATCCACAGAATCGGTCGGGGTGGATGTTTTGGCCATAAGGGTGTGGCTAATAATATGGAGACAGAAGACAAGAGGACTCTTCGAGACATCGAGACCTTCTACACCACCTCCATTGAGGAGATACCCCTCAATGTTGCTGACCTCATCTGAGTGGGGCTGGTCTGCTATCTCATCCCAGCCAGGGTTCTCAGTCCTTGGCAGGCAGAGGAGCAGGATGGTGGAGGGAAGGGAGCCAAGGGATGGACATCTTGTAATTTTTTTTTCTTTTTCTCTTTTTTCCCTTTGAATAAATGTCACTTTTTGAGGCAAAGAAGGAACCATGAACAATTTACCCTTTTCTTTGGGGTAGGCTCATGCCCCAGGCACTATCTCTTCTCCCAAAAACACTATTCCACTTCCCTAACCTAGTCAACCTCTAAACCCCAGAGACTGCCTGCTCCAGCCAAATTCCTCTGAAAATGACTCAAAGGGGCTATAATGTCACTCAACCTCATTTACTGGGCCAAGTCTGTAGGGAGAACCCCTGAGTTAGGTGGCCCAGGGGATTGTCCCCATGGGGGGGGGGAGCAGGGGAGAAAAAATAGTAGCCATTTTTATATTGTTTTGTATGGTATTTATTGATTCAGGAAACAAAATTCTGAATAAAATTACTTGGAAACAAACAAATAAAAAAAGGTTCCAAAGGACAAGACCAATGACACAATATACACTTGTTTAAAAAGTAACTTCTACAGTAATATACCTTTCCTTCAGAACTACTTGAAGAACTATATTCTTCAAGTCTCAAACACTTAATGAAAACATGCTTATTACTTACTAGTCAACCTAATACCAAATCTGAATCACTGAAATGAAGGTTGGATTTTGCAGTCTCAATATTTTCCACACCCATGTTAGTTGTGTTTCAAAATTAATTCTTTTATTTTCTGCAAAAATATAATTCTTGCCCTAACCGGTTTGGCTCAGTGGGTAGAGCGTCAGCCTACGGACTCAAGGGTCCCGGGTTCAATTCCGGTCAAGGGCATGTACCTTGGTTGGTGTGCAGGAGGCAGCTGATCGATGTTTCTCTTTCACTGATGTTTCTCTCTATCCCTCTCACTCCCTTTCTGTAAAAAAATCAATAAAAATATATTTTAAAAATATATATGTAATTCTTGGTTGAGGAAAATATGACTAAAGGTAATGACTTACCAAATAGTTATGTACCTGTGTCCAAAAATACTCAACTGGAGGATAGAAAATAATCTCTGCTTTATTTATTAATTTTTTTATTTTTGTTAATCCTCACCTGAGGATATTTTTCCATTGATTTTTAGAGAGAGTGGAAGGGAGGGGAAGAGACACAGAAATATCAATGTGAGAGAGACACATCGATTGGTTAACGCCTGCACACACTCAAAGGGGGCCAGGGGTAGAGCTTGCAACAGAGATATGTGACCTTAACCAGAACAGAACCTAAGACCCTTCAGTCGGCAGTCAGATGCTCTATCCACTGAGCCCAAAGATTAGCGCTAATCTTTGTTTTTCTGTGTGCAAATTTCCTTCAGCAGGTGAGAGATTAACTGGAAAATGGGAGGATCAACATTGCATACTTGGATAGCAAATTTTTAAAATAAAATCATGGACTCTGAAATTTCTAATTGTGTCCTTTAAATATACTTCAATAGTATAGGAATAATTATTTAACTTAGAGAGTAATGATTAATGGTTCACAGAGGAATTAATAAAGGACATGATTAAGTAAAGTTAGTTTATTTTACCTGCAGCTCCTGCAATATAAACTGAACGTAAATGCTGATAGTGAGACATATAAAGAAGAATTACTGGTAAATGTCAGAACATCATGCCTTCCAATCCATCTTCCATGAACTTCTTATAAAGTGCCATAAATTTGGCCACAAATGCTTCCAAGTGATAAATGGATTTACTACCCAGCTGCAGGCGATGTTCATAGTAAGCTGCCATCTGGGCCACTTCTCCTTTCAGTTGTCCATCACAATTATGTAAAAGTTCTGAGAGAAGGCCCTAAAGAAAGATAACTAGTAATTAAAAAATTATTTAAAAAGGATATTAGCCAAACAAGGTTTATTTCTCATTCAAAACAGAAGTAAATCTTAAGTTAAATATGTTCAGAACTACATGATGCATATTCTTCAAGTCTCAAACACTTAATGAAAGAAAACATGCTTCAAGTGAAACATGTTCTTTTGTGTGAAATCCTGAATTTTTTTATATGGACTGACAGTCTTCATCTAAAAGCAAAAAAAAAAAGTGTACTTTTCTATAATGTAAAAATGTGGCAATTATTTAGCACAATTCAATACTTAAATGTACGAGGATGCAAAGATATAAGTACAAAGATGCTTATTACAACATTAATCATAATAATCTATATGGCAACCTAAAGTTCCAACAATACAGATCACATTTAAAAAAATACAACTATAATATACAATGGAATCCCATTCATACATTAAAAAGAGTAAGGTAGCCCAGCCAGCATGGCTCAGTGGTTGAGAGTTGACCTATGACCCAGGAAATCACGGTTTGATTCCTGGTCAGGGCACATGCCCGGGTTGCGGGCTCAATCCCCAGTGTGGGCTATGCGGGAAGCAGCTGGTAAATGATTCTCTCTCATTATTGATGTTTCTATCACTCCCTCTCCCTTCCTCTTGGAAATCAATAATAAAAACATAATTTAAAAAAAGAGAGTAAGGTAAATATGGACTGTCATGAACCAACACCCATGTTACAATGTTGAATGAGAAACAGTGCAGAAGAGTGTCAAGGTTTGTGAAACTACACACACACACACACACACACACACACACACACACACACAATGGGCTTACAGACAGTCCTCGGGTTACGTCAGACTCAACATACGTCGTTTCGTGGTTACGTCACCATCTTCCATTTATTTATAAAAAAAGTTCCATTATTTCGACATATGTACATACCAGTGGCCTGGTGCACGAAATTCGTGCACGGTGGAGGGTGTGTTCCTCAGCCTGGCCTGCACCCTCGCCAATTTGGGACCCCTCGAAGGATGTCCTACTGCCAATTTATAGGGATCGGGCCTAAACCAGCAGTCGGACATCCCTCTCGCAATCCGGGACAACTGGCTCCTAACTGCTGACCTGCCTGCCTGCCTGCCTGAAAACCATTAAAGATGTCCCGGCCGCCGGGCTCTCCCCAAAAACCCCCCCCTCCCGGGGGCCTGCTGGCCCCCAAATCCTCCCCCCGCCAGCCTGATCACCCCAAACTGGCCCCCCCCGGCCTGCTCGCCCCTACCTTCCCTCCCCACTGGCCTGCTCATCCCCAACTGTCCCCCTCCTGGCCTGCTCACTCCAAACTGCCCCCCCCCCCGCTGTCCTGATCCCCTCCAACTGACCCCCACTGATGGACAGCTTGCCCCAACTGGACCCCCTGTGGTCTGCTTACCCCCAACGGCCCCGCCCCCACCAGCCTGATCACCCACAACTGCCCTCCCCTCTTGGCCTCTAACCGCCTCTACCTCGGCCCCGCCACCATGGCTTTGTCCAGAAGAACATCTGGAAGATCTCCTGGAAGGTCTCCAAGTCTAATTAGCATATTGCTCTTTTATTAGTATAGATATATTTGTCTGTAAATATGATTATGAATGCAGATATGAGTAGGACCAGGTAAAATTTTATAGAATGGGCCTTTTATTACAGATGGTTTGCCATGTATGCATTTTTTCTAAAGAAGTAAAAATTACTTTAAAAAATGTTTCAGGAAGACTTTGAGAAATTTACAGTATCTGCTTTTCTTCCAAGAAAGTTGTCACTTTTATGCCAGAGTGAGAATTATTTGTATGCTCTGTATGTCAGCATTGGGCCACTGTGACTGGGGGGCACTTAGCTTGACTTGAGAGTAATTATCTTGCTCACTGGCTGGGAGGGAGGGTGTGTGGCAGAGGAGATAAATACTCGGTTCTGGATTATTCATAGATTGCTGACTTTCTGGATTGCTTGTGCAAGCCTCTCCTTTTATTGATGTCCACCTTCTACCCTGGGAGAGAAATGAGATGAAACTCTCTTTCTTTTCATTGTAAAAAGCATTTGAATTCCTAAGGTGTGATAAGGCCACCCAGCCATCCACAGTCAAGGTACACATTTTCATGGAGGATGTTCCCACTCTTGAATAAATTAAAACAATTTTTTTCTTTTAATTTCAACTTTCTTCTATAACTGTTTCTTGTTACTTGAAAGCTAGTTTTTTTGAAACTACTTTCAAAGCTTTTCAAGCTGTGTATGTCCTTGGAATGAATTTATAAATAAGAATTGAGCCCAGCCGGTGTGACTCAGTGGTTTAGCATCGACCTATGAACCAGGAAGTCACAGTTTGATTCCAGGTCAGGCCACATGCCTGGGTTGTGGGCTTGATCCCCAGTACGGGGCGTGTAGGAGGCAGGCGATCAATGATTCTCTCTCATCACTGATGTTTCTATCTCTCTCCCTCTCCCTTCCGCTCTGAATCAGTAAGAATATATTTTAAAGAGAGAGAGAGAAGAGTATATATGTTTGTAAATTAGAAAACATATATTTGATGCTCTTAGAAAGTCTTATTTTCTTTCATTAAAACTTGTGCAGTATAGGGAACTCCATAGATTCTCTTAATTTGTAGAAAGTTAGAGGGAAAGGTACTAACTCAGAGTTCCTTGGGAAAATGTGTCGCTTATATATTTTTTTATGTTTATTTTTTTTAAATCAAAAACTGAAATATTTTCTATTCAGAAAATATATTTGCATCTAAATATCTTCTATAATTTTAACCCTTAAATATCAATTTAAATATTTTAAAAATGGTTGGGATGTTTGTTTTTTTAAATAAGTTAGGTTACTGGAGTTCTACATGTTACTGGATCACCTGGGGTAATTTTCTGGTTGGAAAATTAAGAATTATAGTCAGAGGGGAGGACATGGGAATTTTTAAAGAACATATTCAATTTACTTTAGAAGCCGAACCTCTCTTATCATGTGACTTCTTTTGTATGTTTGTTAAACTATATTATCACATAAGCATTGCTGCTATTGGGACAAACAGTGACAGTTGATTCGGGTCATTTGAATGTCCATTGTCTGTTTTAATTTGTATGTTCGTTTTGACTCTGTCATATGCTCAAACTTCAGTGGAAGTCATGAAACCTATTATTTTTGCCTGCTCCCTCCTTTACGTTGGAAATACTCTTTTTTACTCAGAGGGACCTTAACTTTGATGTAAGGGATTGTTTTCGTTGCCAACTTTTTTCTTCCTTGCCAAGTAAGAGAGTTGTTGTGAACTCTTCAGTGATGCCCTCCCCCAGATATTTGCAGATGTGGTTGAAAAGTCATTTCATCCCCGACCTTTGCATGTCAGGTGCTGGGGTGCTGGGGTGCTGGGGTGCTGGGGTGCCGGGGTGCCGCCTCGCCTGTGCCCCGACTCTCCGATCCCGATGCGGCTCTCTCTCCCTCCAATCGCAATGGCGACCACCGAACCGCAGGCCAGGCAGTACCCCCAGGCCCCCGGGGGTGCCGCCTGGCCTGAGCCCCGGCTCTCTCTCCCTCCAATCGCCATGCAATCACAGGGCCGCCTTTGCCCTGCCACCCGGCTCTTGCTTGCTGCCTAGGTTTCCGATCACTGTTCTTCAGTCCTTCCCCTTTCGCCTCCCATCATTGTGCCTACGTATGCAAATTAACCACCATCTTTGTTGGCAGTTAATTTGCATATCGCTCTAATTAGCCAATGAGAAGCGTAGCAGAGGTACGGTTAATTACCCTTTTTGTCTTTTATTAGATTAGATGTGCTTTATGTTTTTTATTATTTATTTACCACAAGTAAAAGTCAGGAATTGTTATCTTCCTTTAAAATTTTTTTTACTGTTTCACTTCATTACTGCTGTCTATGTGCTCTATGTGAGTGACGTAGGTGCTTATGTAGGTGGGTTCGACCTACGGTGAAAATCGTGTTATGTCTCGCAGTAGGAACGGATCTCCGAGGTAACCCGAGGACCTACTGTATTTCCATGTGAACAGAAAAGAGGTCTGTTGAAATTGGTTATCCTTATGGAAATGAAAGGGTAGACCTTCATTTTTTTTTTGTATAGTTGGGTCACTGAATTTTTTCATGTAAATATTACCATTTAAATACAAATAAACAACAACAAAAAACCCTGCATTTCCTAACAAATCAATCTAGCTAGGTAGGTAGCTGACAGACCAACTCTAAAGCTGTGCCTTACAATACATCATAATTCAGATTCTGCCTACACATTTAACCTCATTCCCCATGTTCACTGAATCTAGTAGTCTGAAATACTTGTTCCCCAGTCATTTACATGATTCCCTTCTTTTAATCCTTTAAGTCTCAGCTTAAGCATAACCTTCCTCAGAGAATCTATTGCTGACCTTCCATGGCTCCACTCTCCCTTATTTCACCTTGTTACTTCTTTCTTAACACTTAAAGCATTATGAAATCCTTTTGTTTCTTTACTTGTTTCTAATCTGACCCTACTAAAATGTAACTTCTCTGAAGGCAGGATCTTTCCTGTCTTCTTCATCATCCCCCTTATGATGCCTGACATACAGTAGATGCTCAAAAAATATCTGCTGAATTAATGAACTGGATAAGAAGTGAGTGTTATCTTATGATTGCAAATTTTATGCTTATAAAAGATTCAAGATGTGAAATCAGGTTACCTTCATTATTATTTCAGGAGGAATACAATGAGTTAAAAGCTCATAGAGTCTTCCACGAACTTCAAGGAGCCTACAAAAAACATAGTAATATTTGGTGATAAAAATAAGAGGTAATTTTTCCAAGTACCTACTGTGCTGTTTAACTTTATGAATTAAACAAACAATCCAATACAAACATTTTCTTAAATGGCTTATAATACTTAGTATACACATACAGAAGCTTTTTCTAATTTCAGTTCATTTTTTTTAAAGAAAATTTACAGAACTCTTTTAAAGTTAGACAAAACTTATATTCAGTATTATATTAAGATTTCATGAACAGTGAAGGTTGAGTTTATTTCACACCATGGACTTTAGCATACTTTCATGACACATCAAGTAATATGTTTATTTCCCTCCCCCCCCCCCCCCAAATAAATGATACCTAGAACAGCTAGAAAATAATCATAAAAAGATTAAAGAATCACTGGTCAGTTACACAAGTGAGCAAGGGATATAAAGATGATATCTACAATAATAAAAGCATAATATGCTAATTAGACCAGACAGCTGAACAACCTTCTGGACGTCCTTTTGGACAACCTCCTGACAAAGTTGTGGCGGGCGGGGGCCCAGGCAGAGGTGATTAGGGAAAATCAGGCATGCAGAGTGGTTAGGGCCAATCAGGCAGGCAGGCAGAGTGGTTAGGGGTGATGAGGCAGGCGGGCAGAGGCAGTTAGGGGTGATCAGCCAGGCAGGCAGGCGAGTGGTTTTGCACTCTACTGCCTAGAGTGCAAAAGCAATATGGCAAGGAAACAAAGATGTCCTGTCATTATAGGTAAGCATAAAAACAGGCTGCATAAGTCAACATGAGCATTTCCACCTCTGAGCCTTTAATTCTAGACCCCTCTCATAAAATTTCTCTCTTTCACAAAAGAGTAGAGAGAAATATACAAGGCATTTTAAGACAGTAAGGAAAACAATGATCATTAAAATTCTAAACACAAGAATCTTTATTTCTCTCTCTCTCTCTCTCTCTCTCTCTCTCTATATATATATATATATACACACACACACATACATACATATAAACTAGAGGCCCAGTGCACAAAATTTGTGCAGGGGGGGGGGGGTGCCCCTCAGCCCAGCCTGCACCCTAATCCGGGACCCTCGGGGGATGTTCGACTGCCGGTTTAGGCCCGAATCGGCAGTCGGACATCCCTCTCGCAATCCAGGACTGCTGGCTCCTAACCGCTCATCTGCCTGCCTGTCTGATCGCCCCTAACCACCTCTGCCTTGGCCCCCGTCACCGTGGCTTTGTCCGGAAGAAAGACCGGACGACTGAAAGATGTCCGGTCTACCTGGTCTAATTAGCATATTACCCTTTTATTAGCATAAATATATAATTTACCTACCCTAAAGGGAAAAAAAATGTTCTGAATCATCACTAAAATAATATCACAGATGTTCTATTATTTCAGATTAATCAGGAAAGTGATTTATGAAAGATTTCTTAAAAGTAGAAGTTCAAACCCCATCCTGGGAATCCAGGACTATGAAGCTGTGCCATAATAAAGCTTAATAAAAGTTGTTTTTGTTTTTAAATCCAGCATGTTTTTAAGCACTTGCTATGTGAAACATACTATAACTAATAATTTAAAAATCAGTCCTCACACCAGCTATGAGTGGGCATTATCTCCATCTATTTTTAGATGAAAAAAGTAAGACTCAGGTAGTTTAAGTCAACAAAGTTGACCACAGCAGAGCCTTGATTTAAGCACAGATCTCTCTTACTCCAAAGTCCATACCCTTCCAATGTCTGACAGGCATTTCTCTAACACAGGGTGGGGAACATCTGGCCCACAGGCCTTATTTGGTCGTGTCCTGCCAAGGCATTAGGGGTGAATTAAATGCTTGACCAAATATAGGTTAATTTTTAAGTTGATAATTTTACATGGCCCACAAATCATGTTAGAAGTATCCAAATGGCTCTTGGCAGAAAAAAGGTTCTCTACCCCTGCTCTAATCCCATACTCTATATGACGTTTACTGCAGTACACTATTAATTCCAAACACCACCACTCTGTTACTGAAAAAAACTTAATGGTCAGAGACGTTAAGCTTCCATCAAAACTCATGTGGTGGAGGTAGCCTTTTAATTCAAGTCTGATTCCAAAGCCCTTGATTATTCTTGGACATGGTAGTATATCTCAAAATTAAAACATGATCATTAAAGCATAATAATAATAAGTTCTACTACTATCATCAGTTTTTCTTTAAAATCACAACAAAAAGAAGGAAGTCATCTTCAGTGTGGAAATATTTTACAAAAGTAAAAGACTCACTAGACATGCTTTGTTTGAATTTTATCTTTAAAGGCTGACATTTCTTCAATTACTCAGCATTGTACAAAATGGATTGTACACTTTTTCCTAAAGTCAAGGTTTCTTTTCTGAAGAGACTATTTTATGATACTCGACACTTTTTGCAAACTATTCAACTAAAATAATTGAATGGGAATCCAAAGCAAACCCTGATGAAATACTAATACCCATTATATATGACTATACACCTCCACTAATCTAGATGATAGCCAAAGAGTACATGTTATAAAATCCTTTGAAGACTCTTTTATAAAAATTAAAATTCATCAGATATATCACCAAAGAGGAGGAACATGGCATATTATTCTCATGATTACGTTCAAATAAACCAGGGAAGCTTAAATTTCAGTGGTTGCACTCAATCTATTCTGTTTCCTAAAACAATCACTTACCTTCTATAAAATCTAAAGATGGTTTCTAGTTCTGACAAACAGTAAGAATAGGAGGCTGTGTCTTGGTGAGCCTAAGGAACAGTCTCCAGGATTGCCAAAGGGAGTGGATCTTAAACTTATCACTCTTGATTTGGAGAAGAGCATATTGCCCTTCTCAATCAAAGCTGTCATAAATCAAACAACTAGTGGTTGAAGCATTTTCAGTATGGCCACTACTGAGTAACAGGCACACAGAAATAAATGGAATCAACTGTGTATCGGTGTGTCACAATACACTTTCTAAATACTAACGGCATATGCACAATACTATTCTTAACAGAACTATATCATACCTAAAAATTAGTTGAAGTCTGACTCATAGTCTCGTGTCTTTCTAGCATATGAGGTGTCAATTATAAAGCTATATATTGTTCTTTTTTATATTAAAAAACTAGAAACATAAGTCATCTGAAATCCTAAAAGAAAAACTAAAAATTCCAAGATGTGTTTTAATTTATGTATAAGTTCCACATTTACATGTAAACAGCTTAATAAAAGCCATTATACCACACCAACTACAGTCAAATGTTGGTTCTCTCGAACATCTTCCAACTCAAACAATTTGGTTCTTGGCAAGTTGTTCATGGAAAAAATGTTTCAGGTGTCAAACAAAACTTCAGTTCTTGACCAACAACTCTTTCATGCTGACACCTGTATGATCAGACACTTGCCTCTCAGGCGACAAAGGAGATAATACATGAGTATGAGGCAATTTACTGCTAAACTCCGCGTTAACATCTCAGGAAATTGTGCTGTTAATATTTTCTTGTTTTTGTTGTTTTTGCCTTTGTTGCCGTCTACTATTATTAAATACATATAGTAAGACACCATGGGTCCTAAGGTTAGTGATAGCAGAAAGTGGAAACTAAAGTTGTGAGAATAAAAACTAGAGCTTAAAAAGATATAATTGCCAATCATAACAGAGGTGTTCACATGTCTGATCTGGCTATTGAGTATGGTAAGGGGAATGGACAATTAACACAATTTTAAAACATAAAGAGGCCATTAAGAGTGCTGACTTTGTTAAGTGAAAGTGCTCACGAAACAATTTTCACAGGCAATTGAGAAAGGTAAAAAAAGAAAGATTTGGGGGTCTGGAATGGATTAACTCAATTTACATTATTTCTAATGGGAAAAAATAATTAGGTTTTAAAACAAATTGCTTTTCGAATAGCCTTCTGGAACGAATTAAGTTCGAGAACCGAGATTCCACTGTATTCTAAATCATTAAATTTCCAAAATTTTATCCTCCCCCCCTTTTTTAAAGTTTAATCTTTAGATTCAATATTTAATTATAATTCTAAATTGCATGGTGCTAATAAAAATCCACTACCCTAAAACTAGAATAGCTGTACTACCTTGATGACCAAACTTTTACAGTCATCTTTTATACTGGTTACCTTTGTGGAGTCTGCTGACTGACAATAGCATTGGCAGTCTCCCTCAGATACACCTCCCAATCTGTTTCAGGGACTTCTTGATCTTCGGTAAAAGGATATCTATATGACAAAAAGAAAACACAAAAAACTAAATGGAAGCATGCTTATTATCCAAAATGTTTCTGGTGCTAACTGCCTCTTTAACTCACTGTTGAACTCGGCAGGCTTCACACATGAGTAGGGCTTTTCTGAGATTTCGGCAGGACTTCTCTGCAAGTCTACGAGCCAGCTGTGAAGGGAGATTCAGACCTTCCTTCTTGCACACAGTAGATAAAACATGGCAAATCTACAATAAAATAATATTTAAAAATGAGCAATCTGTCAAACAGTATATTGAAATAATTTCTGTTGATAACATCTTCATAGATCCCCACTTTTTTTGGTTACTATCCTACCCAAAGCCACATTCTCCTTCAGCAGGAAGCCGGGGATCTTGCCTAGCTACCAGGAAAAGGGAGCAGCTGGCCCTGCAACTGGGGAAAGACCTGGTCCCAAGTCCAAGCCTTCCAGACTCCTCAGGGCAGCAGAGAGGAGACACAGGGTCCCAAGTTGGTGGCAAAAACAGGGCTGCCAAGTTGAGCCACCTGGCCTGAATTCCACACAACTAAGAAGGCCTTATTTGCATGGACTAAGACAAGAATGGTGTCCATGAGAGTGGTGAAACTGGTAATCCTGCCTGCTTTATTAACCCTTTTAACTGTATTACTCCTAAAATTTGTACAACTGAGAGATAAAATAAAGGTATTTTACCACTTTGCAACTAATACAATGTCACATATTATCCATACTTTGCATAAAATTGCCCCAAATTACTAATGGCAGGAAAACTGCTTATTGTGAGAATTAAAAATTTTACTGATAGCTATTAAGAATATCACACACACACAGGGGTGGGCAAAAATAGGTTTACAGTTGTGAGTGACATTCTGAGTTAAGAAAGAAAGCTACTATAATAATTATCACCTGTATGTTTTTTCCCATACAAACAACTGTAAATCTACTTTGCCCATTCCTGTATATAATGTTCTTTCACCTAACTTTGGTCCCTTACCCAAACAGTTGGTATTCTCACATCATCTCCTGGCAAAACCTATTTCTTCCATACTCAAGTCTCCTCCAAAGCCAAATACATCAGGTTGAGGCAAAAGACACTAAATACCTAAACTCTCCATAGTTTAGTAAAATTCATAATATAGTGAAACCTCAGTTCTCAAACTAAATTCATTCAGGAAGACTGTTCAAGAAGCAATTTGCTCAAAAACTGAATCATTTTTTCCCATTAGAAAGAATGTAAATTGAATTTATTCATTCCAGTCCTCCAAACGAGTCCCTGTTTTAACCTTGTTTATATACAGTACATGTCTAATATACTGTTTACTCTATAAAGAAACACTTCTTTTGTTAAATTTATTAAACCACCTCCTACTAGCCTTAAATAAATCACTTTACCACTCACTCCAGGGGTGTCTTTCAGGAAGTCAACATGCAATGTCTTTGCTTTTTCACATATCACTGCCTTGGAAATGCAGTCACACATTAACTGATTTTTCTTTATCTAAATCAACAGTTTTTCTACCTCTTCAATTGCCTGTGACCACTGTTTCTTTCACACCCTTAGGAACATTAGCACTCTTGATGGCCTCTTTATGTTTTAAAGTTGTATTAATCATACATTTTACCAGCAACAAAAACAAAAAGATAAAATACTATATAATAAAGGGGTAGTATGCAAATTGACCATCACGCCCTCACACAAGATGGCCGCCCCCATGTGGTCAAAAATGGCCACAAGATGGGTGGCAGGGGAGGGTAGTTGTGGGCAATAAGGCCAGCAGCGGAGGGCAGTTCGGAGCGACCAGGCCGGCAGGGGAGGGCAGTTGGAGGTGACCAGGTCAGCAGGAGAGGGCAGTTGTGGGGAACCAGGCCTACAGGGGAGGGCAGTTGGGGGTGACCAGGCCTGCAGGGGAGGGCAGTTAGGGGTGATCAGGCCGGCAGGGGAGGGCAGTTGGGGGCGACTAAGCCGGCAGGGGTGGGAAGTTAGGGGCGACCAGGCCAGCGTGGGAGGGCAGTTGGGGTCAATCGGGCTGGCAGGGGAGCAGTTAGGCATTGATCAGGTTGGCAGGGGAGTGGTTAGGGGATGATCAGGCTGGCAGGCAGAAGTGGTTAGGGGCAATCAGGCAGGCAGGCGAGCAGTTGGGAGCCAGTGTCCTAGATTGTGAGAGGGATGTCCGACTGCTGGTTTAGGCCCGATCCCGCAGGGACACTTCCTACCACCCCCCAAGTGCACGAATTTCATGCACCAGGCCTCTAGTAAATAAATAAAACCACAAAAATATTCACAGCACAATTTCCTGAAATGTTAACAATGTGAGGTTTAGGGGTAAACTGACTAGCATTCTCTCCTTTGTTTATGGCTTTTTCTCGTGCTGAGGCATCAGCATGAAAGGGTTGTTCAACAACTGAGACTTTTTTTAAAGGACAACTTGGTTGAGAACCCAACTGTTAGAAATAGGAGACATTTGAGAACGGAGGTTTGACTGTACCTACTCATTTAAGGTAAACGATCATTTAAAGCAAAGAACACTTTTCCTATATTGGTATCTACTACTACTGGTATTTACTACTATATATATTGGTTTTTGCATCTACTAATGATTAGCATCCAGACCACAGATGTTCCTGAATTACTGACACATTTCACTGCAAGTGAAAACAAATAACTTGACTTACATCCTCAATGCTGGGAGCAGGAACACGAATTGCCAGACATCGACTACGAATAGGTGGTATCACTTTAGATGTAGAATTGCAACACAAGATCAATCTGCAGGTAGACATATACTTTTCCATGGTTCTACGCAAGGCATGTTGAGCATCTCTGGTGAGTTTGTCAACCTCTGTCAACAAAACCACTGAGAGGAGAAACAAAACAAACTTTAACTTGCATAACTATATGCTTCTCCCTCTTCATTATTCAGCATGAAATCTTAAATAATAATCCTGATATATATTACTCTTCCCTTTGACAAGGACATATTGAAGTTACAGGTACAGTAAAAATAACTTAATTTTTATTTTCAAAATTCTATAAGACTAAGAAATTCTAGGCTAAATGAAGTTAAAGAGGTTAACTTACTATAGAATTCATTATAGCCTTTATAATATTTACTAGACGCCTGGTGCACGAGATTCATGCACTGGGTCGGGGGGAGGGTCCTTCAGCCCAGCCTGCACTCTCTTGCAGTCCGGGACCCCTTGCTGCTTACCACCTGCCTGCAGCGGAGGTGGGAGAGGCTCCCGCCACTACCGCTGTGCTCACCAACTGTGACCCTAGCTTCTGGCTGAGCGGCGCTCCCCCTGTGGAAGCACACTGACCACCAGGGGGCAGCTCCTGCGTTGAGCGTCTGTCCCCTGGTGAACAGTGTGCGTCATAGTGACCAGTCATTCCGCCGTTAGGTCGATTTGCATATTATGCTTTTATTATATAGGATATGCACTAAAAAGAGAATCACCAAAACAAGGATGTATGGTGCTACATTTTCAAAAAATATTTTACTATCTCAGTAGCACATGACTGTGGAACATCTTTTAATCAGGGGTGGGGAACATCCAGCCCACAGGCCATATAAGGCCCATGAAATAATTTTGTCTGGCTCTGCCAAGGCATTAGGAGTGAGTTAATTAACTGTCTGACAAATATAGCAGGCTAATTTTAAGGTAATAATTTTGTATGGCCCACAAATGATGTTATAAATATGCAAATGGACTTTAGCAGAAAAAAGATTCCCACTGCTGTCTTAAATCATAGCATTCTAAGGAATATACTTTGGAAAACAACTGCCACAGAGATGTAGCAAACAAGGCATAAAGACATCTGGTTACTTGTATAGTAAGTAAGTTTCTACCTGGCCATAATTAGTCTTAAGACTAGGCCTTAAATATTTTCAAGAATAATATGTAGGTACAGACTGAATCCAACTGCTGTATTATTCATTATACCAATTTCTGTCTAGCAGATAGCAGCATTCCAATCTCTCTGATATAAATAGACAGGACTAAATATTCCAAGACCAAAGACCCATGGACAACATTTATACCAAAACATAGTAACAAGCTTTACCTAAGAACCCCAAATACTAGAAAGTGAAAATACTGGTAAACGACTATGCATGGGATGAAGTGGCTAGGATTTAGTAGGTTTCTGACAGTCTTTAGGGCAGGAGAACCCTAAATCACCCACAAGAAAACTCTAGAAAGCATCAAGGGCTAAGATGAGAACAGAATCCATAGGGCTGAGCTCATGGCTGAGAACAATGGAACGTTGATGCAATACGGTTTGACAGAGCACTAGACTGAAAATAACAAAAAATGGAGTGCCCCTCTAAGACAATGTTTCACAATGAGGAGAAATTCTGGACAGAGAATCCAAACTGAACAGAATAGGAAAAAGAGAGAAAAAGATTGATCCAAAAATATGACTAAAATAGAACCAAACAAAGTAGCAAAATCCAACAGATACAAAAAATAAATCTGGTAGTCAGAAAATAGAAGCATATCTATAAAATTAAAACATGACCAAGTGAGTTTTACTCTAGAAATGCAATGCAGTTTCATTAGGAGATCCAGTAATATAATCCTACATAATAAAAGCCGAATACGCTAAGTGTCCAGTTGAACTGTTGGCTGTTGAACGAATCAAAGCATAATATGTTAATGCCGCTCAACTGCTCGCTATGACGTGCACTGACCACCAGAGGGCAGACGCTCCAACCAGTAGGTTAGCTTGCTGCTGGGTTATGGCCAATAGAGACTGAGAAGATGGGCCAGACACGCCCTGGAGCCCTCCCATGGTCCCTTCCCAGCTGGCCAACCTTCCATGTCCCTCCCCGGCCCCGATCATGCACCAGTGGGGTCCCTTGGGCTGGCCTGTGCCCTCTCGTAATCTGGGACCCCTCGAGGGATGTCAGAGAGCCGGTTTCGGCCCAATCCTGCAGGCCAGGCTGATGGACCCCACTGGTGCATGAATTCGTGCACTGGGCCTCTAGAGTGTGTGTGTGTGTGTGTGTGTGTGTGTGTGTGTGTGTATAAAATATGTATACATATGTGTGTATATATATATATATATATATATATGTATATAT